CTTACTGTTTGCTCTTTCAGAAGACCAGAGTTTAGTTCTCAGCACCCATGTCAGCCACCTCACCTCCACCTGAACTTACCTTCAAGGGACTCAGCTCCCTTTTCCGGCTTCCTCGGGCAGCCAAACTTGTGGCAGAGACTCACATAGACACGCCCTTACACATGAGTAAAAATTTTTAAGTAAATCTTTAAAAGAAATCTTAGGACTCCACGTGTAGTTTAATGCTTGACAAGGGTAGAACTTGCATGATCCAGTCACCACCTCAATGACTGGCCCATGAGCATAAATAGAGACAGCCCCCTGGGAGAGAGACTTCAGTGAATCATCTGGGGACCAAACCTTCAAGGTATGCAAAACACAGCCTGAATTAATACAAATAAAATGTTAAAATGCCTAATAATTTAAAGGAGTTAGTAATAATAGCTAACACACATGCACTAAATTGGTGATTCCCAACCTTCCTGATGTTTCAATACAGTTCCTCACTTTGTGGTGACCCCCAACCATAAAATTATTTCCATTGCTACTTCATAACTGTAATTTTGCTACTGTTATGAATCATAATATAAATATGTGTGTTTTCTGATGGTCTTTGGTGATCCCTGTGAAAGGTTCATTCAACCCCCAAAGGGATTGTGACCCACAGTTTGAGAACTGCTGCACTAATTCTTATAAGCATTCTCTAAAAGCCCTGTCAGTTCTTAACAAATGAAAGCAAAGGGAAAAAAGTTGAGCAGCTATTGCTTACCTATAAATCCCAACACTTGGAAAATTGAGACAAGAAAAAAAACGGTTGGTTTAAGTCCAACCTCAGCTACATGGTAAGCATGAGGCCAGTCAGGGCTACATGAGACTCTATATCATAACAAAGTAAAGTAAAGCACAACAAAAACACTAGTATCCCATGGTCTGATGTGAGGGGGTCCTTCCTCCCTCTCAGCCTGCTGGCCACCAGGTCAAGAGAGGACAAGAGGCAATAGCAGCGACAGAAAACTTTGTACTGGCCCATGAGCATAAATAGAGACAGCCCCCTGGGAGAGAGACTTCAGTGAATCAGCTACACTGTATTCCAGAATATAAAGAATATATAAGACTGGGGAGCCTGGGGACAAACCCTAATTTTCGTTAAGTGGCAGACTCCTATCACAAGGCTTTGTATGTGGCAGTAGGTAGGGTTCTATCAAAATGGCTAGAGCACTTGCCTAATTACCATGTGTGTCATCAGGGGAAGAGGTTTGCAGGGAATTGTATCAAGGGTCACCCTTGAGATAAGTCAGGTATCCTGGGCCAAGAGAAATCCTCCAGATAAGGCTGGGTAGAGAGCAGGAAGCTTTGCTGGGGAGGGAGGGAAGGAGGGAAGGAGGGAGGGAGGGAGGGGGGGAGGGAAGGAGGGGGGGAGGGAGGGAGGGAGGGAGTGAGTTTCTGTATTGCTGAGCTTAGAGAAAGCTGCCAGGCCATAGTAGACAGTGACCTCTACCAAACAGCAATGTCTTCCAATAGTCTGACACCTATTTAGGAAAGAATTTCAGATAATCAAAAATCAAACACATATCTTTAACTTCTTAACAGTTATAGCTTAAACTGTACTAAAACTGTGACATTCAAGGAAAGGGGCTTTTATGACTGATGAATGTATAAGTTAGAAAAATCTTTCTGCTGAATAGTTTAGCAGTGTGATCTGAGTCTTGAAAAGATTTGTACCTGGTGACCCTGTTTTGCTCTTGGGATTCTTCAGCATCACCATAATCAGAGACACATATGAAATGTATGTTCTGGGCTTGTCAGGGCCTTCTAATAAAGAAGAGCAGGAAGCAAGTTCATCCACAAAGAAAAAAAAAAAAAGAAGAAGCCTTTCAAATGTTAAAGTGTTAGGGAATCATCACAATTGTGCCTTCGCATGACAAAGAATTTGTCAATAGGTGAATTGATGATTCATCTCAGAGTATAAACTACAGAGTAGTGGAATATTAGTTAGCAAGAAAAAGTAATTTTTATACACACAGTGTGAATGAATTTTAGACTATTATGCAGGACAAAAGATTAAAATGCAAACAGAGGGTATATTTTTGAAGCTGCTTGTGTCGAGTTCTAGAACAAAGCTTGTCTCTGTCTAAAGGAAACAGAAATGCTGAAGCAAGGGTTTTTTGGTTTTTTTTTTTTTTTTTTTTTTTTTTTTTTTTTTTTTTCAGGAAGAACTCTCTGGCTCAAACTCATCCCCTCTGCTTACTTCATTTCTTCTTTTGACTATGTAAACTAGACTTCAAAATCCATGTGTTCCGAGAAGAGCTAATGAAACAGGCAAAGCATTCACCCAGCAGCCTTAAGGAGAGGCTGTGTGTCGGCATGGTTCTAATTATGTCCAATAGTGAACACCAGCAGAGAGATAAGAAAGTAGACACAAGAAAGACATATGCTGGTAAATATGTACAAGCTTTGTGTTAGAGAAACAGGTAAAGATCCTTGAAGCCTCGCTTCATGTTTGGATTTCCATTTCTCTGCATCCCAGCTTTGGCCTTTGGGTCTTCAAGTGTGGAGCGTGTGTACCTCTGCCTCTGATGACCTTTCTCCTGCTCTGTGACTCTTTAATTCCTTCTTCACCTCCAGCTCTCAGCTCAGTCTTGAATTGAGTCCTCCCTGTGAGTCATCCCTGTTCTGGATTAGGTCAAATCCCTGTACTAATTGCCTTTACTGTTCCTCTGACATGCCTAACAGACTCAGCTTAATGAAGGAGAGGTTTCCTTTGGCACATAGTTTGAGAGAGTTAAGTTGTGGGCATCTGGTTCTGTTTCTGAACCTAGAGTGACAGAGTGTGTTGTGTGGAGAAGCTGCTCATGCTAGAACAAACAGGAAGCAGAGAGAGTAAAGCAGGAACCATGGACCAGGTAGACTGTTCACAGGCATGTGCTGTAGGGCCTCTTCCTCCAGCTAGACCACCTCCTAAAGTTCCTACAACTAACTGGGGTCCAGGCATTCAACAAAGGAACCTTCAGTGGTGTTTCATTTGAAAGCCACAACATACCTTATTCCTTCCTCTTGATGGCACTTAGACATTTTCATTTCCTTGGGTCTACAAGTTAGCCTTCAGAATGGCAAATTGTCCAAGACTTCTGACACCAACTGCAAATTTGATAATCTTCCCCAAATCATCATCACCTTTGATAATTTGATAGAAAAAAACTCACAAAATTCATTGAAACCAATTGTAGCAGCAGCTGTATTTATTTCAGAAGGTGGGGATACAAAGAAGACTACAAAGAGAAATAGGGCAGAGTCTAAGCTACCAAACAGAAAGTTGTAACAGACACTTGGTGACACTGTGACTGTGCATAAGATATTGACCTTTAGGAAGCTCCCTGGAGCTCTGATGTCCAACCTCTTGAAGTCTCATTATGTATGATAAGTTGATTGATTGTCCATGTGTTTGAACACTGTCTCTGTCTTGTGAAAGGAATATTCTGTCTGTGCCCAGCCTCTACTTCAGACTACAGGGTATGGAAGGCTCCACTCCCAGTGACCTCATTAGCATAAACTCTTAGGTATATTCTCAAGGATGCACCACCATTAGCAGACACTCCTGTCAGTTTAGGAATATCCAAGGGTGTGCCTTGTTCAATGAGTTATTGCTGATTGATTAAGTGGTAGCACATAGGGAGTGCTTAATGCACTTACTGAAAGAACAAGCAAGGTGATTTTCCTTATTAAATTTCCTGTTGCCTTTGGGACCCTACTCCTCATACTGGGTGGCCTTGCCCAGCCTTAATACATAGGGAGGTGCTTAGTCTCACTGCAGCTTGATGCAACTTGCCATATGTGGTTGATATTCATGAGAGAACTGCCCTTTCTAAAACAGAAATGGAGGAGGAGTGGAATGGGGGTGGGGCCAGGGGGAATGCAGAGGAACTGGGAGGAGAGAAGGGAAGGGAAACTGTGGCCAGGATGTATGTAAACTAGCTAAATAAATAAATTTATTTTTAAAAAGTTCCTGTTAACATAGTGCTCATGTGCTGGTTTGAATATATCCTCAGTTGTCGTGAGGGTTCTAGTTCAATGATATGCTTAATAAGAATGCTCCCCCAAAATGAATTCGGAGTCTTTCTCTCTATAACAAGCAGCACCCTCAACCACTGAGTGAGGAATTAAATTGTGCAGAGTTCAACGTCTCTTCCAGCTCCAACAACAAGCTATTTGTCCTTAGAAAGCAAAAAAAGCTATAGCAAGAAGACTAGTTTACATGGCTGCATGAAACTTGGGGATATGTAAATTCTCAAAACCAAATAAGAAACAGAGTAATTCAGCTGAACTCCAAAACTCATCTTTAATATTTGACAACATAGGTTTGAGTTACAACACTACAAGTTTGTTAGTTTGATAGAATTTATCTTTGGAGCCTATCCTGACACTCTCTCTGGGGACCAGTCTGGTCTCGAACTCACAGAGATCTGCCTGCCTCTGCCTCCCGAGTGCTGGGATTAAAGGCGTGTGCCACCAACGCCCGGCACAATTTTTTAAAAATCCGGGGTTAATTATATCTGGCACTTATATTGCCTACTGTGGGCCTTTAGGATGTGACTGATAATGATATTAATTGTGTCTCTACATGAGAGTGTCAATGCCCTAGCAGTTAGAGAAGAATCAACCTTTGAAACATTGTTTTTGACTTTTTTGTTTGTTTTGTTTTGTTTTGTTTTGTTTTGTTTTGTTTTTTTTTGTTTTGTTTTGTTTTGTTTTGTTTTGTTTTTCAAGACAGGGATCCTCCTGCCTCTGTCTCCAGAGTGCTGGGATTAAAGGCTTGCGCTACCAACGCCCGGCTGAAACATGGATTTTAATCCAAAGTAATGCGTAGACATTCAAATATAACAAGCGTTTCAAAACTCATTACCAACCAGATTATTGCAAGAAGTAAAATACTCTAAACACCTTTGCAGCACACACATTAAAAATGTGCAAATGCCACTGCTACTCATGTGTTCATAAAATGCTACTTCCTCTTGCCATTTTAGTGTTACCACAGGCAGTCACCCAGTTTGAAGAACTGGTTGGAATGGCAGAGACCCTGCTTAAGGGTGGAGGAGCCGTGTCCACACCTGCGTCTACTCTCTGGAGAGCAACGAACAACTCCTCCCCAGACTCCTTTGCCTCTCTGTGCAGTAATTCCAACTCTAGCTCCAGCTCCCCAAGTTCCCTGAAGGCTGAGGAAGAGCAGCCTCCTGGTGAGAAGCAGGTTGGTTGGAATAATACCCCTCTAGTTCTCTGAAAACAGCCGGACACAAAAACCAAAAGAAGGGTTAAGCAGTGGGGTCTCATGGGGATACGTCAAGGCAGATTTAGGTCCTGACAACAAAGAATTAGACCCCTATAACAAAGAATCTTTTTATTTTAACAATGAGAGTTAATATTTGTGAAACAGACACCAAATTTAGAAACATTAAAAAGCAAATACTGGGAGTAAGTACAGCTTTTGAACTACAAAATTTGTGCACCAGTTATGGAAGTAGACTTATATACTAAAGGCAAATCTTTGTGTCACTGAGAGAAGTGTGGCCTCGCATGCTTCATGCGCACAGTGATTTATGTTTTTCCTGATCAAGAAACCAAAACTAAAAATGTAAAACTTGTGTTAAAACCAGGTATAAGCCTAAGAAAATAGCTCTTCCAAGGTGGTAATGAACGAGTGAGCGAATATCAGAGTATCTGAATGTTTGTATATAATTTCCTGTTGCTATGCGACAGATTACCACAAACTTAGTGATTTTACACGCGGATTTGTTTTCTCAGAGTTCTGAAATCCAGAATCCAATACAGGGCTCAGCGGTATGAAATCAATGTGCAAGCAGCAACACCCTTTATGGGAGACTCTAGAAAAGGGTCTGTTTCCCATTTGTTTAAGTCACTATTGTAGAATTTGGATTCTAGTGGCTGTAGAAATGAATGTCCTGTTTTCTTCCTGACTGCAGATTGGTCATCCATGTTTCTAAAACCTCTAGTGCTTGGCTTAGGGCTCCATCTTCCATCCACCATCTCACTTCACACTGCGCTCAGGGCTCCATCCACCATCTCACTTCACACCGGGCTCAGGGCTCCATCCACCATCTCACTTCACACCGGGCTCAGGGCTCCATCCACCATCTCACTTCACACCGGGCTCAGGGCTCCATCCGCCATCTCACTTCACACCAGGCTCAGGACTCCATC